TTTACTTATAACATCCCTTCTTAATTCGAAATTATTGATTTTTCGAAAAATACCCAACTTTCTACATTGTGAATTGATCGATTATTTTTTGATGAATTATTGACTTTTGCAAATTTCGTGTGCCACTCGCACTTCGGGCCTCGGGTTTTGACGGATAAAAGTACAAATTTCAATGGGATTCGTCCTTAATTGGAAATTAGGACCACAAAGGTATCCACTAGCATATACTATGGTCGGATTCCCTAGTTAATGGCCACGAATCCTCCGTGGTGCGAGAGATTGTGGTTCGCATCCAAATCGAATCATAGCCGCCGAAATTACTTGTTCGATTCGACGGATTACAATTAAACTACTTTAAAAAAAAAGAGCAGAAAATGGAATTCTCCTTCGAATGATCACCACGACAATACACTAAAAAGACAAAAAGAAAAGGTGGGGAAAAAAACAAATTATAGTTTTTCGACCAAAAAAAAGGAAAATATAGTTTGCACCTAAGAATAAATAGACAAATTCGAGATAAAAACTGGTGGTCGACATTGTGCCGAACTGCCGCGTGTATGGCTGATAGTCACTCTATCACTTTAAAAAAACATAGGACTTTTCTATTTTCTGGGAGGCCATAGCCACTCGATCCGCTTAGGAGATTAACCGATCAATTTGATAATTAAAGCTAACCCAAATTGACAAAATCATCGTAACATTGCAAAAAATAGAATTGATACCAATGAAAATCACAAATCACTAATCAATTACACATTTATTCCACTAACTTTCGTCTCACAAAAAAGTACAAATTGGTATCCCACGTATTTAACCGAAGCTAATATTCGTCTCTCGAAAAAATCCCAAACCGGTGCCTACGACCCAAATCCACCGTTCCTTAGCATTTCGTCTATAATATTCCATTAAAATGCATACGTGTCGACGCACGTGGCAGACGACTGCAAGATGGATCCGACGTGGAGAATGATGGATCCAGGTAGAGAATCAACGTGTATTGACGCGTACAGATTTTAACAGGATACGAGACGAAAACGCTGACCAAAAGAAGGATCGGAGATTTCTCGGGATTTTCAAATTTAATTTTAGATAAATGCATCGTAAGCGTACCGATTTGAGATTTTAATTTCATGATAAATATGTCACGGAGCATTTGGGGTTTTTCAAAGGCATTATTATCCCTTCAAAAAAATGTTATGACCAGACGCCGCCCTGAATTTCAAAGCACCCCAATAATAAAAAAATAAAATGAATGAATAAATAAATAAAGTCCATGGCTGCGAAATTGTGTGGAAATATCGGCCAAACGTTGACCACAGCACCCCGAGATTGAAAGAAAAACCTTTCCGGGTTCGGATACTCCGGAGTCCGCACGTCTCCGAGTCCGGGGGCCCGGCCCGCCACGTGACGCAAGCGGTGACTCGCCCCCGCGGCCCCGGCCAATCGCAGCCCGCCACGTCGCCAGCATGCAAGGGGGCGCCGCACGTTCCCTCCATCGCGTCCAGGTTCATCGTTGTCCCCGAAGTCGCCCTCCTTATTTAATCTCCTCCTTCCTAATCTCCCTCTCTCCACAACCCACACACAAAATCTTAAGAGCAAGAGCAACAAAGGCTTCTTCGAGACACACGCCTGAGCCACAGCGACGAGATTTTGATTTGAGATTTCAGAGGAGAAGGAGGAGAAGAAGAAGAGGGACGGGGGAAGGATTTGGGTGGGTGGTTTTTCCAATGGCGCTGTCCGTGAGCACGTCTTCCACTTCCGCCATTTCCGGGTCGAGCTTCTCCCGCGCGGGCGGCAATCATAACGAGCTCCGAGGTATCGATTTTCGGTAATTTGGCAAGAAATTCCCGGGATTTCGGGTTGCTTGTGGGGAGAGAAATCGTGGGGTTTGTTTTTTTTTCTCTTTTGTTTTGATTGTCTGTTTGCGGATGAAGCTGTGCTGTTTTTAATGGTATTTTGGCGAGAAATTCGGAATTTCGGGTCGCTTGTGAAGAGAGAAATCGTGGGATTGTTTTTTTTGTTTTTCTGATCGTCTGTTTTCGGATTGGTGTGGGAGGCGGGTGATTTCTGGAGTAATAGATTGTGGGTCGAGTTTCGTTCTGGTGATTGTGGGGTATCGGTTGTGACTGGGGGGGTTTTTGCGAATCGTGTAGGTGTCAATTCGTCAACGCATTGCGTTTTTTCTTTCTAATTATGCATGAATTCGTTGCTTGCGGCTTTTGTTCGTGGGTATGATGTTCTCGTGGTTTAGGATCGATTTGGATGAAATTGGGCCTCAAATTTGCAAAGGGTTTCCGTTTATCACTTGGGGTTTTCTGCAATTGAACCACCCTTTTGTAGTTCATGAGGATTTTAGTGAATCATTCTTTGCTTGCTGCTTTTGGGTTGCAACGTCGTTGCTTGTGCAGATATATTTCGTGTGGGTTTGATAAATTGTGCATAGATTGGTTGCTTTTGGGTTGCGATTTTCGTTCCTAATGCGGATGAACTGGGATTGCAGCAGCTCCGCGGATTGGTTCGTTCCGCCTGTTGGATAGAGTGCAAGCTGCATCCGTTGCTTTGAATGTTTCCCAGAGGCGATCCTTGGTGAAGCCCGTCAATGCGGAGCCGAAACGAAACGACTCGATTGTCCGTTCGGCAGCAACAATCGTCGCTCCTGGTAAATTGCTTGACTGATTTTGATTCAAATTATTGTTAGAGATTGAGTGAATGATCTGGAATTGAAGATTCTTGCCTTCTTGGATGCATTAATGACATTTTTCTTGTGACAATGTGTTTGAATCCTGCAGAAGTGGAAGAGAAGGTAGACGTGAAAGTGGAGGATTACGATCAGTTGGCAAAGGACCTTGATGGTGCATCTCCCCTTCATATCATGGACAAGGCCCTTGAGAAATTTGGGGATGATATAGCAATCGCTTTCAGGTATAACCGTGAACAAAGAGGTCAATTGTTCTGAGAATCTGGTTGAGATTATTCCTTTGAAAAGGAGATTTATTGACATGGTGATGTGGTTGAATTGAAGATGATTCGTGTTTCTGAGCTCGTCGAAATAAACATGATCAAGAAGATTCATAACAGTATGACAGAATTACATGCTATTGCTACTTAATATGTTCTCGTGTCATGTGGTCAAATTGTGTAGCTGAACTTAGTGAAGAAACTTTGACCATCTGTTGACTGTTGTTGGTTACTGAAGAATGTTTTTACATTCTAGCTTGCTCTAGTTTTATCTTTCCCGTGGAAGGTCCTGAGACATAATTAACGCTTTTGATTTATACTTTTGCAGTGGTGCTGAAGATGTCGCCTTGATTGAATATGCAAAATTGACGGGAAGACCTTTTAGGGTATTCAGCCTTGACACGGGGAGGCTGAACCCCGAGACATATCAGTTTTTTGATGCCGTCGAGAAGCATTACGACATTCACATTGAGTACATGTTTCCCGATGCTGTTGAAGTTCAGGCACTGGTCCGCAATAAGGGGCTTTTCTCATTCTACGAGGACGGACATCAGGAGTGCTGCCGTGTGAGGAAGGTGAGACCCCTCAGAAGGGCCCTCAAGGGACTCCGAGCCTGGATCACTGGGCAGAGGAAGGATCAGTCTCCAGGTACAAGGTCCGAGGTTCCGGTGGTTCAAGTGGACCCTGTTTTCGAGGGCATGTATGGTGGGGTTGGTAGCCTTGTGAAGTGGAACCCATTGGCTAATGTTGAGGGCCAGGTTGTGTGGAGCTTTCTTAGGGCCATGAATGTGCCTATAAATTCATTGCATACCAAGGGATATGTCTCAATCGGGTGCGAACCGTGCACAAGGCCAGTACTTCCAGGTCAGCACGAGAGGGAAGGAAGGTGGTGGTGGGAGGACGCCAAGGCGAAGGAGTGCGGGCTCCACAAAGGTAACCTGAAACAGGAAGCTGGCGTCAATGGCAACGGATCGGCCCACGCAAATGGAAGTGCCGATCTTTTTGACACTAAGGATTTGGTCACCTTGAGCAGGCCTGGAATAGAGAACCTGCTGAAGCTAGAGAACCGAAAAGAGTCGTGGCTTGTTGTCTGCTATGCCCCATGGTGCCCCTTCTGCCAGGTAGATAATTCTGGCGAAAATCGTCTTTTACGACTGATTAGTAATTGCTTTTCGACATGGGTCTTAACTTAATTCTCCTATTTGATGATAGGCAATGGAAGCTTCATACATTGAACTGGCCGAGAAGCTGGCGGGAAGTGGGGTGAAGGTGGGGAAGTTCAATGCGGATGGCGACCAGAAGGAGTTTGCAAAGCAACACTTGCAGCTGGGGAGCTTCCCCACAATACTTTTCTTCCCCAAGCACTCCTCCAAGCCCATCAAGTACCCATCGGAGAAGAGGGACGTCGATTCCTTGATGACCTTTGTGAACGCCCTGCGGTGACGGGACTCGAGAAGCCTCAGGACTTTTCTTTTCAGTAGTTAAGCATGGGGAATTCATTGCGAAGGACGGAAGTCGAATTACTCCAATTCGTTTTGGCGTAATAGCTTGGCTAGCAAGCTAGAGTTTTGTGGGCGGGGCAGTTCAAGACTCGACCTCGGACTTTCATGTCGCTGTATATTTTCTGCGTCAATGTTGGCATAGTCATTGTTTTATTGCGTCTTGGTCTCGGGGCTTATGCCCTTTTAGGGGTGTCTGTTGGAAATGGTGCTGTAGTATTTGCGGAGAACCATCCAAACTTTGGGTGTGATCTCCTGTTGCGAAATTGAGGTTCCTTTGTTCGGTGCAAAAGCTGTTGCAGAACCGTCAGTTCCTCTTGAAAACCTGAGCAGCACCTTCATCACGATATGTACTGCTTCAGTGCTGGGGTTTGCAGCTTTTGAATCATGTTGATTTTCTTTCTAAGGTAAGCAACTGCGTTATGTGTTCAAATCAGAAGCTAGCAAAGGGAGTGGCTGTTCCAACAAAAGCCAGAGTGGAAATGGAGTATCTGATTGAAAACAAAAGAAGATTCATGCAATTGCGCAAGTTTGTGTAGCTCAAGCTTTTTTGACACGCCTAATAATAACTCATAGTTTCTTCTTCTCTTTTCCAGCTTGACCGTAACCGCATCGCCACGTGCAAGTAAAACACCTATTTGCTACTCTTTCTAGCTTCAAGAAAGTGCATTCATTTATTGAGCAAAGCGGAATATTCCATACTTGGATAAGCTCCTTTAGTTTCCGGCTACCAAAATGGACTATTTCCAACAAGTACAGCTTAAGTAGACTTGTCAAACAGGTGGATTTTGTCAGGTTTGGCTAGGTAAAAAATTAGACTGATTTAAATTGATCGGTTTAATCCATATTGACCTATTTTTATGTGATATAATTTTAGTAACCCATAGTTGATCAGAACCGAATCCATACCCGAGCTCTAAATTCTTAGCAATTTTATCTTTCCAACTTTTTTGTTATTTTTTCTGCTGTTTATTCATCTTCAAGCAAAGGGAATAGAGAATGACAATGGTTTTAGGCGGGGCTTAACAAAATGGAGGCCATCCGTTCAAATTTGGGAAATTTGTCCCAAAAGTTCTAAAATTATTGCACTTTTACTAATTAAGTCATAAACATTTTAATTATACTAATTAAGTCAGAAACCTTTTAGTATAAAAATAGAAAAAGGAAAAAAAACAAAAAATATTAAAATATTATTAAAAAATATTCACATCAGTGGCGACCATATCATGTAAGACTATCTGCGTTCACGTCAGCAATTTCGATCCAAAATTGACTGGATGGACTTAATTGGCAAAATATAAAAATGTTTAGAACTTAATTGGTACAATTAAAAGATGTAGGGTTGAATTGGCAAAAGTGTAATATGTTTAGGAATTTTTGGACAATTTTCCCATTAAAATTCCACCAAATTATTGCACGTAACTGCTTTGGTGTAAGGTTAGTTCTTATATAATCAATCTATAAGGGCTTACAAGATGTTCCACAAGCTTTTAGCTTGATGGCACAAGCTAATAAACAAATGAGTGAATTGGGCAAAGAGAATGGGCTATTTTTTTTTTTGTCAAACAAAATTTTATTGAATCTAAAAGTACTCCAAACACCAAAACCCATATCAGGGACATCAAAACATAATAAATCCCAAAGAGGTTAGGAGGTTGGGCTACCTAATTCGAGGGTCGATTTTTTAGTCCATGGGCCTTATAAATCCAATCTGCCACACTATTCGACTCTCTTGTACAATGGGCCAAAGAAATGCTCTTGAATAGGCCCATGACCCTCCGAGCTTCCACGATAAGAGCATGTGCTTCCCAATCACTTTGATATGAGCTATTAGCCAAGTGAACTAAAGACAGGTAGTCAGATTCAAGTACAATATCTCCTTTCTTCTTTGCTTCGAGGAGAGAGAGAGAGAGCAGCGAGCAAGACTAGGGTTTCAGCTTGAATCGCGGGCGACGCCAGTACCATTCTCGCTACTCCGTCCACCAGAGCTCCTGCCGCATTTCGAACAACAACGGCTACTATGGAATGGACTAGTTCGAGGGGAGCAAAAGGCGTAGTAGTCCTGCCAAGTATTTGGACTCGATCTCATTTACAACCGACAATCCTAGAATCTGAGGTAATGTTATACATTCCTTAATTCGATCTTTGCTTTTTTAGAAGAAAATTGTTTAATTAGAAATGTCGGCAAATGACATGGTACTAGCTTTACGGACAAGAGTCGTCCCACGTATGAAACATGAGAGGCTTCTCGCAAGGACGTCTCGAATCGTGGACACCGGCCCACTCGCTCCCTGAAGCCACATCCTAGTCGTACGACAGAAAAAAAGTCAATGATTTTTTTTTCTAAGAGAATAACACAAATGGTCTTTAAACTTTAACTCGACATGCAATGTGGTCTTTGAATCTTTAATTTGTTCAATGTGATCCCTGAACTTTAACTTAATGTTCAATGTGATCCCTAAACTTTTAATTTGTTCAATGTGGTTTGTCCTTTTGGTGTATGTTTAATGTAATCTCTAAGCTATTTGAAAATGTTCAATGTTGTCCTTCTATTAATTATACATCAGAGAGAACATTAAATATTCTCATATAGTTTAGGGACTATATTGAATATGTACCAAAAGTTCAAGGATAACATTGCACAAATTAAACGTTTAGGGACTATATTGCATATTAGACCAAAATTTAGGGACTATTTGTGTCATTTTCTCATTTTTTTTTAAAAATTCGGAACAGAATTGAGATTGAACCTAAAACCCATGTCTTTTTAGAAAATTCGGCCCTGCATTAATTTCAAAGCTTTTCATTCAACGCGAACATGTCAAAATTCAATTGGGAATGGATCCAAGTTAAATCATGTGGACCTGTTTTTAGTTGGTTTTTATTTCTCACGACTCATTTCAACCTATTCAAAAAAATCGAAGTCGCCCGTTTCAAACCCGATCCATCAGAACAATTTCAAGTACAACAAAACAAGAATATGCTCGGTCCCAAGCCAACATTCACCAAATCAGTAGACAAAGGAGTTAGATAACGCTCTCAAGAAACGGCCTTAATGTTAAATAAGGATCCGAAACGCGAGTAAACTACACTAAGTACAGATTTTGTCAATCTTGGGGTCGATGATCGGACGACCTAACGTTTTGATGACCCAAGAATTTCTATTCTGTTCCCTTGATTCCGATGGTAGATCAGTAGTTCAGCTGCACTTAACATAACCTTATTAAGTGTGACAATGACATTTCAAAAAGATGCGATTATTTAACATAACCTTATGACAAATGCAGCTTGATTTTCTAAACTGCCAAAGATAATGGCACCTGCTCTGCTCTTGTCCTGTTTGGTTCTGCAGACTGCAGAGGATCTTTGCTCTGTGCCCTTTTGAGCCTCTGTTTTGTTTTGGCTGCTAGCAATCTCCATATCTACTCCAAAAAGCCTTTCCTTTTTCCAATCGCCACCCATATTTGAAATTTGAAAATTCTCCAGACTTTTATTTATTCTTCTTTTTAAATTTAAGAAATGGAATGAAATAATGGCCGAACGTACAAGATGGATTCCAGCTGAACCCCATCAGCGAAAAGAAGCCAAAAGCTTGGAATCTGCGTAACAATTATAAGGAAAGTCACTTTTGGCGCTCCTTCTAGGAGTTTTTTATGATGGAAGTTCAACATTTTGAATTCTAATCACTGTGTTTGAGCTATCTTACTAGTTAAATTATCGAGAGATTTGATTTGAAAAAACTAGAGATTTCACATTTGAATCACATTTTGTATAACTTTACTTTGATTAGTATACCATATCAGACCTTTCTGATAAGGTCCGGAGAAGGTCATAAGAGCGGTTGTCCCTCCTCACCTTTTTGCACTTATAAAAAAAAAGACAACCTTTGATTCATAATCCCTTTTATATCTTAGAGTTAGGTTTTTTTTTATGAATGTTATTTTCCGTGCACTTTACTCTCCACATAAATAACTCAAACCTAAAGGCAAGACATAAACAATCTAATTTATGGTGCAAAAAATTGATGTAAATACCATCGACATCTAACCGCGAAACGGGCTTTTCATATTTTTTTGATTTATGGGAAATTATTTTTTTTGTCATCTTACTAGTAAATGACTTCATTTTTCTGTTCTGTGAATAGTCATTGAGTTCAATTTGCAAGTATCCAAAAAATTATGAGAGAAATTAAAAATGTGAAGCAAGAAAACAAAAGAAGAGGGACGACGTCTCTTTCGAAATGCCAGGCTGTAATTCCAAAGCACCTCTGCACAAAGTACGGAAGAAACATGCTCCCCCAAAATGGAATTTAATGTTAGATTTTTTTTTTATCTAATGTCAGGTTTCGTGAATTTTCTGGCTCAATAATTCAATGCATGCCTGTTTTTTTGTCTGATATTTTTTGCTGTCTTTTTTTTTTTGGAGTGATGACAAAATTCATCACATTAGGTAAATTCCCAAGTCTTTAAACTACAACCATTATTGATCAAATAAGACATGGTAAAGATTCATGTTGTGGCCTAACAATCATGCTAATTTGCAAATTCAAGTAAATGTTGAAAATAAGGAGCTAGGGGACAAATCTCTCAAACCTTCCTTAAATCTACCACGAATTTATTCAAACATGTGACAAACAAGTTCATATTATGATCGAGCTGAAAGAAACTCTGATCGGTATATAAAATCGATGTACAAAATTTATGTCATAAATTCAATCGGGCATGTATTTAGCAGTCAACAAAAGTTTAAAGAAAAAGCGTTACGTGTTTTATTTCGCCGTCTCTGCTTAGTAAAAAACAAGAGTTCAATAGATTAATTTTTCATACCAATCTTAGTATCTCTCCTATCGTTCATTAGGATTCGATCAAATGAGAAAGTTCAGGAAACACTCGAGTCATTTTGATGTATTTATAGATTCGGGATTTTGCTAGAAATTCTCTGGTGACACTTGTTAAATAATGAATTAAGATAACTTTATATTTCTCTATGCACTTATGTGTTATATTATATATAATCAAAACATAGAAATAGTCCATGCATAGTATTTTGATAAATACACTTAAGGTGATTGTTATTTTGTTTCGCGAAAAATGCATGATTTGAAAAATATTTTTTTTTGCTTGAATCGCTTGAACTATTTAGGTAATTAAAAATGTTTTCATTATTGACAACAATTATGTGAAAACATTTTCATAACCGATACAAATATTCTGTGTTCATTTACATTTGCAAGCAATACGAGCAACCTATTTTAATGAAATATTTTTCCAAATCATTCGTTCTTTCGTGACATGAAAGCACCCTAATTATTTAAAAGAAACCCGAAAAAAAACAAAGCCTGGTGCCCACTTTGATACACCACATTTTCTTGCTGACTTTTTGCACCAACCATTCTTGAAAGCACATTAGAGAAAAGCTCAACAGGAGTTCCAAAATTCCTTGTCGGTCCAACCCACACGGCTAGAATTGTGTAGCAGGAGCAGGAGGAGGAGTAGGATGCGCCATGATTTCACCTTTCATCTCCACCGTAAAAAGAACGAAATGGCAATTTCTCAGCACCAAAAGCTCATCCCGCTCTAAAGACCCCATTTTTCATCTCTCTCTCCTCTCTCTTCTTTGCTGTCGTCTTTCTCACTGAAACACTCAGAGCAGAGAAGACTCTCTGCTGTGCTGTGCCGTGCCTTTAAACTTTACCATTCGGAGGATAATGCAAGGATCTGCAGCTGATACTGAGCTTGAAGATGGAGCAGTGAAGCTCACCCCTCTCCTCTTCAATGGCAATCTCTGAGCTCGCTCCCCTTCTCTTCTTCACTCTCGTCTTCCTCTCCATTGCCGAACCAGGTACAGCGAGAAGTAACCAAGAAAGAAAGAAGCCCGCTTGAGGTTATTGCTCCATGAGCCAAAAAGTTTCTACAATTCACCACGTTCTTACCTCCCAATTCTTG